AATATGTAATAGCCCAATGCTGAGCCTTACACACTCAGCAATAGATACATTAGATTTAAGGGTTGATATACATGAGTCTGGGTATATAAACCCAGGCTCAGAATAATAAAGATCAATACGAACTAAACACCATCATAGTGAAGTGTATTCATTCACTCTTTCTGTACTAGGTAGTGGATAGCAATCCCGATCCGGAATGCACGCTGCTCAGCTATCTGCGCGACAAGCTGCGTCTGTGCGGCACCAAGCTGGGCTGCGGCGAGGGGGGATGTGGCGCGTGCACCGTTATGATCTCGCGACTGGATCGGCGCAGCAATCAGATACAGCACCTGGCCGTGAATGCCTGCCTGACGCCCGTCTGCGCGATGCACGGCTGTGCGGTGACCACGGTGGAGGGCATAGGCAGCACACGCACCCGGCTGCATCCGGTCCAGGAGCGTCTGGCCAAGGCGCACGGCTCGCAGTGCGGCTTCTGCACGCCCGGCATTGTGATGTCCATGTACGCGCTGCTGCGCAACGCGGAGAAGCCATCAATGCGCGACCTTGAGGTGGCCTTCCAAGGGAATCTCTGTCGCTGCACCGGCTATCGGCCCATCCTGGAGGGCTACAAGACATTCACCAAGGAGTTCGCCTGCGGCATGGGCGACAAGTGCTGCAAAGTTAGTCGCAAAGCATGCGGCGGGGCGGACAACACAGATCACAAGCTCTTCAAGCCCAGTAAGTTCCAGCCCTTCGATCCCAGCCAGGAGCCCATCTTTCCGCCGGAGCTGCAGCTAACAGCCACGTATGACGAGGAGAGCCTGGTCTTTCGCTCAGATCGAGTGACCTGGCATCGGCCGACACAGCTGAAGGAGCTACTCCAACTGAAGGCTGACCATCCGGCGGCCAAGCTGATTGTGGGCAACACCGAGGTGGGCGTGGAGGTGAAATTCAAGCACTTTCTCTACCCCGTGCTCATCAATCCGGCAAAAGTGCCCGAACTGCTGGAGGTGTGTGAATCGGAGGAGGGTGTCTACTTTGGTGCAGCCGTTAGCATCATGGAGATCGATACATACCTGCGCAAGCGCATCGAGGAGCTGCCCGAGACGCAGACGCGCCTCTTCCAGTGCGTTGTGGACATGCTGCACTACTTTGCCGGCAAGCAGATCCGCAACGTGGCGTGCCTGGGCGGGAACATAATGACCGGCAGTCCCATCTCCGACATGAATCCCATACTGACGGCAGCTGGCGCTCGCCTGGAGGTGGCCAGTCTAGCGGGGGGCAGGCGCTCGGTGCACATGGGCGCCGGCTTCTTCACTGGCTATCGACGCAATGTTATCCAGGCCGATGAGATTCTGCTGGGCATCCACTTGCAGAAGACCACGCCGGATGACCATGTGGTGGCCTTCAAGCAGGCGCGACGCCGCGACGACGACATTGCCATCGTCAATGCGGCAGTCAACGTCAAGTTCCGGGCTGGCTCCAATGTGGTGGAGCGCATCCAGATCGCATTTGGAGGCATGGCACCCACCACGGTGCTGGCGCCGCGCACCTCGGAGCTGATGGTGGGCCAGCCCTGGAGCCAAACATTGGTGGAGCGCGTATCGGAGAGTCTGTGCAAGGAGCTGCCCTTGGATGCCTCAGCTCCCGGTGGCATGATCGCTTATCGTCGCGCCCTGGTTGTCAGCCTGTTCTTCAAATCCTACCTGGCCATCAGCCGGAAGCTGTGCGACTCCGGCATCATGTCGCCGCAGGCATTGCCCCAAAAGGAGCTCAGCGGCGCCGACAAGTTCCACACGCCCGCTCTGCGCAGCTCCCAGCTGTTCGAGCGTGTTGCCAGCGATCAGGCGAGCCACGATCCGATCGGCAAGCCAAAGGTGCATGCGTCCGCCCTGAAGCAGGCCACCGGCGAGGCCATCTACACGGATGACATACCGCGCATGGATGGAGAACTCTACTTGGCCCTAGTGCTGAGCACCAAGGCGCATGCCAAGATCACCAAGCTGGATGCCAGCGAAGCACTGGCCCTGGAGGGTGTGGAAGCCTTCTTCAGTGCCCACGATCTGACCAAGCACGAGAACGAGGTGGGGCCGGTGTTCCACGATGAGCACGTCTTCGCCAACGGCGTGGTGCACTGCCATGGCCAGATTATAGGCGCCATAGTTGCGGCCAATCAGACGTTGGCCCAACGCGCCGCTCGACTGGTGCGCGTGGAGTACGAGGAGCTGCAGCCGGTGATTGTCACCATTGAGCAGGCCATCGAGCACAAGTCCTACTTTCCCCACTATCCCCGCTATGTGACGAAGGGCGATGTGAAGCAGGCCTTTGCTGAGGCGGATCACGTCCATGAGGGCAGCTGCCGCATGGGCGGCCAGGAGCACTTCTATCTGGAGACCCACGCCGCGGTGGCTGTGCCTCGCGACACCGACGAACTGGAGCTGTTCTGCTCCACCCAGCATCCGTCGGAGGTGCAGAAGCTGGTCTCGCACGTGGTCAATCTGCCGGCCAATCGTATCGTCTGTCGCGCCAAGCGCCTGGGCGGTGGTTTCGGTGGCAAGGAATCTCGCGGCCTGATGGTGGCACTGCCCGTCGCCTTGGCTGCCTACCGACTGAAGCGTCCCGTGCGCTGCATGCTGGACCGGGATGAGGATATGCTCATGACCGGCACACGGCATCCGTTCCTCTTCAAGTACAAGGTGGGCTTCAGCAAGGAGGGCCTGATCTCGGCCTGCGAGATCGAGTGCTACAACAACGCCGGCTGGTCCATGGATCTGTCCTTTTCGGTGAGTACGCCCTTTGCTATCGCCTGAATCATTCGATGACCCTCTGTGATCCTCGCCAGGTGCTGGAGCGTGCCATGTACCACTTCGAGAACTGCTACCGCATCCCGAACGTGCACGTCGGTGGCTGGGTGTGCAGAACCAATCTGCCCTCGAACACGGCCTTTCGCGGCTTTGGCGGGCCGCAGGGCATGTTCGCCGGGGAGCACATCATCCGCGACGTGGCGCGCATTGTGGGCCGCAACGTGCTGGACGTGATGCAGCTGAACTTCTACAAGACAGGCGACTACACACACTACAACCAGCAGCTGGAGCGTTTTCCCATTAGGCGCTGCTTCGAGGATTGCCTCCAGCAGTCGCGCTTCTACGAGAAGCAGGCTGAGATCACGACCTTCAATCGTGACAATCGCTGGCGCAAGCGTGGCATTGCACTGGTGCCCACCAAATATGGCGTCGCCTTTGGCGTCATGCATCTGAACCAGGCGGGCGCACTGGTCAACATCTATGCCGATGGATCGGTGCTGTTGTCCCATGGCGGCGTGGAGATTGGACAGGGGCTGAACACCAAGATGCTGCAGTGTGCCGCCCGAGCTCTGGACATTCCCATCGAGCTGATACACATCTCAGAGACGGCCACCGACAAGGTGCCCAACACCTCGCCCACAGCGGCCAGCGTGGGCTCCGATCTGAACGGCATGGCCGTGCTGGACGCTTGCGAGAAGCTGAACAAACGGCTGGCGCCCATTAAGGAGGCCCTGCCCCAGGGCACCTGGAAGGAGTGGATCACCAAGGCGTACTTCGACCGGATCAGCCTGTCGGCCACTGGCTTCTATGCCATGCCCGGCATTGGCTATCACCCGGAAACGAATCCCGATGCACGCACCTACAGCTACTATACGAATGGCGTGGGCGTCTCTGTCGTGGAGATCGACTGCCTGACCGGCGATCATCAGGTGCTCAGCACGGACATTGTCATGGACATTGGCTCGAGCATCAATCCGGCCATTGATATCGGTCAGATTGAAGGCGCCTTTATGCAGGGCTACGGCCTGTTCACGCTCGAGGAACTCATCTACTCGCCCGAGGGCAATCTCTACTCCCGCGGACCGGGCATGTACAAGCTGCCCGGCTTCGCCGATATACCGAGCGAGTTCAATGTTAGCCTGCTGACCGGCGCACCCAATCCACGCGCTGTTTTCTCATCAAAGGTGAGCAAGAGAGCATGCCTGGACAGGAATATGTTTACTAAGATACATATATATTCCAATTGCAGGCCGTGGGCGAACCTCCGCTCTTCATAGGCTCCACGGTATTCTTTGCCATCAAGAAGGCCATCGCTGCGGCACGCGCCGAGTGCGGCTTGAGTCCGGACTTCGATCTGCAGGCGCCGGCCACAGCGGCACGCATACGCATGGCTTGCCAAGACCAATTCACCCAGCTGGTAAGTCCGCTCCAATTGTATATAGATTGAATTTGATTCTACGTTGATCCTCTCATCTTTCAGATTAAAATGCCAGAGCCGGGCAGCTACAAGCCCTGGAATATAGTGCCATAGATCGTTTAGTTCGCTTAAGCATTTGTTACAAACACCATTTTAATTAATAACTACATACTTAGAATAGCAGTAAATTGAGCTTTTATGTATTATTATTCTTATCTAATGCTTCTTGAAGACAATCCTCTCCACCCAGTCCAGGTAGGCGTATAGCTTTGTGTAGACGCCCGGCGCATTGGGCGCTGCGCAGAACTTGCCGAATGATGTGATGCCCACGACAAAGGCCACACAATTGTTTTCGGGTAGAATCGCGTGCAGCGGTCCGCCGGAGTCACCCTGGCAGGTGTCCTTGCCGCCCGGCAAATAGCCAGCACAGAACTGCGAGTCGACAATGCCATTGGGCAGTCGACGTTCTTTGCGATAGATTTGCTTGCAACGCTGCTGCTGTATCATGTCTAGATCCACCTGGCGCAACGTATTCGACTTGGCGCCCAGGAATTCCGTGCGTCCCCAGCCGGTTGCCACCACCGTTTTGATGTGCATCTCGGGCAATTGCCACAAGCAGGCCGGACGCACATGCTCAGACAATTTGGCGCGCTTGGTCAGCTTCAGCAAGGCGATATCGTGGTAGTAGGAAGAGGAGCGATACTTGGGATGCAGAATAATGATGAGTATTTTAATGTCCTGCTGCCACGGGCTGGTGACATTCAGTTGCTGTGCGCCCAGACGCACCATGTCCGGTGGCTTACTACAAACATACATATAAGGAGACCATGTAGTGTCGGTGCTTCTTGGGCATTGCCACTCACCTACCCGACGTGGCGCAATGTGCCGCCGTGAGCACATAAAGCTCACTGACCAGCGTGCCGCCGCAGCCCCATTTGATGACGCCGTCGCTTTGCGTCCAGCCCAGTGCGGTCATATGTGGAAAGAGGGCGTGCAGTGTGGGCGTGCCACCCACAATCAAAGGCACGCTGGGCACACACTGCTTGCCCGAGAAACTGCGTCCAGTGTCGCCCAGGCGCAGTCCCTTAGTGGCGCTATTGTACTCCTGACATTCTGCACAATTGGTTAGTTTACTATATTATTGGCCGAATGCTGCTACTCGACTTACTTGTGGCGCTGATCCGTTGCGACTGGACATGCTTTTCGGCCAGTGGGCAACAAATGACCGGCACGTTGTTGCGATGCGTGCAAATGTCAATGGGCGTGCCGTGCACGCGGTATTCCCGTATAACATGGAGGCACTGATAGGCCACGATGCAATAGCCGCTACGTCCGTCAAAGCTTCGCCGGCAAAAGGCGCCCTCTTGCAGCGTCCGTGCCGGTCCTGGACGCTGTTCATCGTCATTGTCGAATTTCAAAGAGCTCTCCGAAAGTTCATCCTGCTGATCCCGTTCAGTTGGAACAGCATCGGCTGCAGATGGCTCCTGGGGCCAGTGTTCTGGAAGCGTGTACTTGGTCGTTTGGTAATTGAAAATCTCAAAAGCGGCTGGAAACTTGGGATGTTAATTGCAGTTATATTGTATATGAATTCACTTTTATTACCATTTAGTGCCTGTATGTGTAGCAGCATAAATTGTACGCTGATAATTACGGACAAAATTGGCATTTCTTCATTTGTCGTCGCCTTTGTTTTTGTTTCTTGCACATTTGTAAACATCTAAATAACGTAATCCTACCGCTCAACGAAAGCTGCCTGTGTGTCAGTGCTAGAAAGCGCAAAAAGCTAATGAACTCAAATTTGGAGCGAACATATACGCATATTTTTTAAGCGATGGGGCAGCACCGCCAATGCATTTTTGCAATCCTTAAAAGTTCCTGAACTACAATCAGGAGCGAACAGAACCGACAGGCTGTTGCTATGGAACAGCCAATTTATTTAATCGATGGGGCAGCCTTAACATTTTAAACATTTTAAATGGCCGGCAAAAGCAAAAAGAAACGAAATAGTAAAGATTCAACGTCCAGCAATGCGGGCAGTGGTGAGGGCGAAGAGAAGAAAAAGAAGGATGGTATTAGCGGCAAGAAAAAAGGGGGAGTTGGTAAATCGATTGGCTGTGATATATTCAATGATGCAGCAATGGAGAATGCCTACTATGTGTGCCACAATGTGCAGGTGAAATAACATACTCTAAGTTTTCCTTATGCTTCACCAATCTACTGTAAATATTTGTAGGATGTGCTGAAAACCCGCGGATTCCCTTGGCCCGATGGGCAAAAGAAAAAGAAGAAGGGCAAGCGTTGATAAAATGGTCGAATGACAAACTATTTACATGAAGAATGTTTGCCATAATTATTAAAAATTATTTATAATTTATAATGAAATAAATATTATATTGCATATACATATTTATATGACTCAGATGTAAGCATTCCGGTTGTTACCTCTGCTTCTATTTATATCTAGCCAAATCAAGTTGTCATCATCAATTTCGAACCAAAAATCGAACTCAATTGTGAACGTCAGCAACAACACTTTCTAGAACAAACATCAGAAAATCTCCAAAATACGAAACGAAATCAAAATTACCGGCGTGAGAAAAATTACAGACACAAACAAAATATTAAAACACATTTGGACTCGTTTTGTAGAATTGCCAAAAACTGTGGCAAGGCGACTTGCGCAAAGATTGCACCATAAAAATCCGAGAGTCGTGCGGGCGCACGATTCAGTTGGATATCACCGGCGACAGCCAGCGGTTCAGTGTGACGTCAACGGCAACGGAGTGTTTGTGATTTAGACATTAAACATGGGCAAGACGCCGGCAATTGGTATCGATCTGGGCACCACCTACTCATGCGTGGGTGTTTGGCAGAACAATAAAGTTGAGATTATTGCCAATGATCAAGGCAATCGGACGACGCCCTCGTATGTGGCCTTTAACGACACAGAGCGCCTAATTGGCGATGCAGCTAAAAATCAGGTGAGTGGCCGATGTGCTGTTGCACTTGAGCTCAAATGTGGCGAGCCGTATTTGGTTAAATTTGATCAAATAATTTACTTGTGTGTTGTATGTATTAGCATTGCTATATTATGAATGCTTTACTTGCCTAAGATTCAAACTGGGTGGCATCTCTTTCAAGTAGGGAATTTCTTTGAACTCCCGTAACGTACTTTCTTTTAAAATGATTTCCCAGTATTGCATCAAAATGCCAATTGGCGAATTCTTGCAAATTTTAATTTGATTAAATTAGGGAAAATCATGTTTGCTCATTCAAGATATCATTCACTGTACATTGTCAAATATGTATATGGCTGCATTTTATTCGGCATTTTAATATTGCGATTATATATACGTTCAAAAGTATGTTTGCATATAAATGCTATATAAAACTCAAGTAAATTTATGCGAGCATCCCGACAGTTTGCCCATATAAAAATAGCTATTTTGCTGACTAATTGCTGACTAATTACTCAAAATGCTCGTATGCAATTGCAGGTGGCAATGAACGCCAAGAATACGGTATTCGATGCGAAACGTTTGATTGGACGCAAGTTCGATGATAAGAAGATACAGGAGGATTTGAAGCATTGGCCCTTCAAGGTCATCAACGATGGGGGCAAGCCTAAAATTGAAGTCGAATTCAAGGGCGAACGCAAGCGCTTTGCACCCGAAGAGATCAGCTCCATGGTGTTGACGAAGATGCGCGAAATCGCCGAGGTCTATCTGGGCTCCAAGGTAAAGGATGCTGTCATTACGGTGCCGGCGTACTTCAACGATTCCCAGCGCCAAGCTACTAAAGATGCTGGCTCCATAGCCGGTTTGAATGTGCTGCGCATCATCAATGAGCCGACGGCGGCTGCCCTGGCCTATGGCCTGGACAAAAATCTGAAGGGAGAGCGAAATGTGCTGATTTTCGATTTGGGCGGCGGCACCTTTGACGTCTCCATACTCTCCATCGACGAGGGTTCGCTGTTCGAGGTGAAGGCCACAGCGGGTGATACGCATCTGGGCGGCGAGGATTTCGACAATCGGCTGGTCAATCACTTCGTGGAGGAGTTCAAGCGCAAGCACAAGGCCAACATCACCGGCAATGTGCGAGCTCTGCGTCGCCTGCGCACGGCCTGCGAGCGAGCCAAGCGTACGCTCTCCTCCAGCACCGAAGCATCGCTGGAGATCGATGCGCTGCACGAGGGCATCGATTTCTACTCTAAGATATCGCGTGCTCGCTTCGAGGAGCTCAACATGGATCTGTTCCGCTCCACCATAGACCCAGTGCAGCGCGCCCTGAGCGATGCTAAAATGGACAAGAAGTCCATACACGATGTCGTCCTGGTCGGTGGCTCCACACGCATACCGAAGATCCAGCGTCTGCTGCAGGACTTCTTTGGCGGCAAGCAGCTCAACTTGTCCATCAATCCCGACGAGGCGGTAGCCTACGGCGCTGCCGTCCAAGCGGCCATACTCACCGGTGTGGGCAGCTCCCAGATACAGGATCTGTTGCTGGTGGACGTGACGCCTCTGTCGCTGGGCATTGAGACTGCTGGCGGTGTGATGACCAAGCTGGTGGAGCGCAATGCACGCATTCCCTGCAAGCAGCAGCAGACCTTTACCACCTACAGCGACAACCAGAATGCGGTCACCATTCAGGTGTTCGAGGGCGAGCGGGCCATGACCAAGGACAACAATCTGCTGGGCACCTTCAATCTGACGGGCATTCCGCCAGCACCACGTGGAGTACCCAAAATCGATGTGACCTTTGACCTGAATGCCGATGGCATCCTAAATGTCAGCGCCAAGGACAGCAGCACTGGCAAACTGGAGAAGATAACCATCACCAATGACAAGGGACGCCTGTCCAAGGCCGAGATCGATCGCATGCTCTCCGAGGCGGAGAAGTACAAGGATGAGGACAATCGTCAGCGCGAACGTGTCTCATCTCGCAACTCCCTCGAGGGCTACATCTATGGCTGCAAACAGGCCGTGGATGAGGCACCAGCGGGTGTTCTCACCGAGGCCGACAAGTCCAAGGTGCGCGATAAGTGCAACAAGGAGAGCGCCTGGCTGGACAAGAATACACTGGCCGAAAAGGAGGAGTACGAGCACCATCTGAAGGATTGCCAAAGCGTCTGCAATCCCATCATGTCCAAGATGCATGCCGGCGGACAGGCACCCAGGGGCAAGTCAAGCGCTGGCACCGCCAACACCGGACCCACCGTCGAGGAGGTGGACTAATCTGGACTGACCAAGCGAACAATTCAATTGAATATGTATTTGAAATTTATGCTAATAAAAGAGTTCAATCAAGTCAGCTGCGTTCGCCGTTTACCATTCCCATTCCCATTTCCATTTCCATTCCATTCCCAATGGCATTTGAGTTCTCTTTTCCATTCCCATTCTCCCTTTAGCATTCGGTCTTCAGTTGTCTTTCAATGGTTGCATCGAGTAGTTTGTTTGCTGAGCAGATCAGCTGGCGCAACTGCAATGAGCTGTTGCATCCGCATAGCTGCCGGCGTGCCGCTTGGCAGCATGTCTATCGGTTTGTCTGGTCGAACCTCAAGTATTATCTGCCCATGTTCGTCCTGGATCTGCTGAAGCAGGCGTTGCGCGGCAATCAGCAGCTGCTGCACTCGCTCCGCAACGCAATGTGGTATTACGGCCAGTTGGTGTTCGGTGGCCTGGTCACTGGTTGGCTGTCAGCCAGCTTCATTTGCTTGCTGCGGTAGGCATCGGCTGCTCTTCGCTCTTTTCTTGATAATCCCATCTGTGTCTCTTCAGTCATCTGCTGGGCGAATTCCGACCGAACACGGTGGTGTTTCTGCCTGCCGTCTTGGCTGGCGCTTTCGATGCGCTCTTGCCCATTCGTGTGAAGCAAGTGCATCACACGGCCCTCTTTCAAGCTGTAAGTCAGCTCAGCTGTGCACCTGGACCTACCGCTCCTCCATTCTACTCTTTCAGCTAATCGAAAGCCTGCTGCTGCAGCGCTCCAATCCGCTGACCAAGGCGCTGGGCACATCTCTCTGGCGTCAAACCCTGCTCTTCATGGCCTGCAGCGCCGTCATCATGCTGGGCAAGCAACGGGAGTGGCACAAAGGTTTCTGGTTCGTAGCACCCGATTGCTTGCAGTCGCTAAAGAGCTTAAGTCCCATTCAATATGTCGTTCAGGGCGTGCGTAAGTATTTGCTCATTGGGCTCGCCTTGGACATCTTCAAGGGCTTGATAAGCTGCATCAAGACGAGTCGCTGGCATCTAAAGCAGTTCAGCTTGGAGTCTATGGCCTGGCTGGGCTGTTACGTGGGCATCTACCGGGTAAAATACATGATTATTCTCATATAGATTATTAATGTAGATAATGTGGATATTTTTAGTAGGGCATATGCCTGCTACTAGAATCCTATTCAGTTGCCTGAGCTCCGTCCTTCATATATAAATTCCTCCATCTCATGCCCATTTATCCGTCTATCTGTGGGTTTTTCTTTCTTTGCTCACAACGCTCTTATGTAGACATACTTTTTATCACCCGTCTATCAACCCATTCAAGTGCTGACTATTTTCTCCTACGGCCTGAGGCCAGACACCTTATCACCTTTGTTTGCATTCGCAACTGCATAATAATGCGATTTGCATTTATTTAGACTAGCTTATGCTATATGGCAAGCAGGACGGATGTCAGCCAGACCCTACAGCAGATCGTGTCCAGTTTTCTGGGTGGGCTCAGCTTTGTTTGTTATCCGAAGTTGACCATCTTGAGCTATGCCCTGCTGGAGGCGGGCCGCTCGCTGTGGGGCAAGTATCGCCGGAAAAGGCATAGATCTCGATTTGGCTATAGCGAACTGGTCTTTCCCCTGGTGCTGGCGTATCTGATACACACCTATGCCTTCTATCCGAAGAGAGTCAGCGCTCTTGCGAGCATCATTATCGACAGCACGACGGGCAATTAGTAAGTTTGCTGAGAGTTTGAGAATTTGTGTTTGTTGCTTCTCAAGATTTGTTTCCCTTTCGTTCCGAACAGCGCCGGAAATATAAGCAGACGTCTGCAACATTTACAGCCGGCTGGATGGCATGGCAAATGGATTTAATTATAATTTATAATGCAATTAGCCATAAAAATAAATATATATATAAATGTATCTATGGAATTTGCATAATAACCTTCTATTTGAACCGCATCAGCGGCTCGGGTGGAGTTTGAGTGTCTCAGGTGTGGGAGTCAGTCGCACTGGAGATGTGCCTGTGGCAAAATGGTTGCTCCCAGCAAGCTATTCGGATATCCGATGAGTCATGTACACTGCGGAAATATTATCCACAGCCTGCCCAATCAGAGCTGCACGCAGGCTCTGCTATGGAACATATACCGAAATCATGTGTCCAGTGCCAAATACTATTTGCCAACATTGGTGGTATGTCTATTTGCTGATCCGACATGGATGCTATGCTCAATATTATTTCGCTGCAGTTAATGCCGTTACTTTTGAATTGTCGTCGACTGACCAAGCGTCGGCTGTGGTCCACAGCGAGAAACTATTTGGAAACTACGTTTTTTGCCTCCATAATGAATGCGCTTAGCTTCTATTTGATTTGCGTTTTTAGGCGTCTTAATGGACGTTTCGTTTATCTATGCACACCAGGTCTATCAAATTACCTGGCAGCGCTCATCAACTGGTGGGCACCACCCAAGGTGTTGCAATTCTTTAGCACGGGCATAACTCATGCGGTAAGTGTACATTTTGTTACAATGATAAAATGGACATATCAAAATACCTTATGCCTTATTTAAAAGTAGCGCCAAATAAATTTCCCTGCGTAAGAATTACTTCAAATTCACAATTTCAAAGATCTGCTACAATTTCCCAAAATTCAAATTTAAAAGTCCCAGATGTGGGAGGAAAATATCCTAATTCCCATCATGGACAATCTGTTCCCATGGCCTGCACTTTTTTTGATGCTGTGTACATTTAAATAATCTTTCCTCATTTAAGGCTATGGAAGCCGTGTTGCGTGAAATGAATGCGGGTCTGGTGCGATCTCGACCTGCTCAGACGGTGCTATTCATGTTGTCGTCGCTAGTGGTGCTACGACAGCAGCAGAAGCATTTATACTCTGGTTTTTGGTTCATCAAACCTAGCTCGATGACTTTGGATTACAGCAAGTGGCCTTTATTACGTCGCCTTAAGCAAGCTTCTTTGGAATTGGCAACATACTTTGGCATGGGTTTTACCATTGACTTGTTTAGTGTGTTAATGAGCCTGAAGCTTAAAAAGTTAAGGCTGAAATCAACTAGCTTTATTGTAACCTATATAGGGCTTTACAAAGTGAGTATAGCTGACTGCGAAGTCTTCATTTTGCTCAAATTTAATTTAATTTAATTTAATTTTAGATAGTTCAAGTTCTATTCGCGGGTGTACTGGAGATGAAGCACCTCAATTTATTGGCAGCCTTTGTCAGTGGCGCTTCATACGGTTTGTTCAGCCATGTGCCCTTCAGCTATATGTGCTTCGCCGTGGTCATTGCCATTCAGGCACTGTATAAAGAGCTGTGTAAAGTCGATGTTAGCCACAATAAGCGACTCGCTGCCTTGCTATCCATGCCCTGGGCGAAGCTACTCATCCCGCCTACGAGTGCATATTTGGCGAACTGCATGTTCTACAAGCAACATCTGCTAAGTGGCTTGGCCAAGTCTTTTATGGACGATACGTGCGATAAAAAGTGGGTATGCCTATTATCATAAATTAAACATATCATTGACAAATTATATTTTAAATTATTCCAGCGTAAATCGTATATATACTTTAATACAGCTTCCCCTGGAAACAATATTTAATAAGACTAAAGGTGGGCCACAGCCGAAGTTCTTTTTTTAGTTGAAATCAAAAGATCGAGGGACTCTAACCCGCTATTAGCTGTAACAAATTTAAAACGGTTAAAGATTAGATTTAAATACTTTTTCGAACCGGTTGGGTGGCGTGTAGTTGCCACACTGTTTTAAACTATATTATCGTCAAATTGCGTTGCCACACTGTTATCAAAAGTATAAGCATATTTAACTTAACTGTAACTAATTTTTAAATTAAAAAGTTTCTCGCAGCCAATAAAATTATCTAAGGCATATTTATACATAGGTATGTATATTACAGTGCGAGAATCGTTAAGTTTACCCGTCTAGAAACAATTAATTTTACGTTATGTGAATAAAGAGTATTTAAAATACTTTTATTGCGCAGCTTAGAGGATTTCATTGTTTTTGCTTTTAAGAATCTTTGGCTAGCCAAATATCTGAGGTACAATCTCCACCTGGGTAGCGCATCTCATGCGGAAGACTGGGTCCATAGGGCTCCTTACCAAAGTCAACCAGGAAATCCTTATTCAAGGTCATCCCGCCATTGACCATATCGACATCAATAAGGACCACATGTCCGCCCTTAGAAGCCATTTTTGGATAGAACTGTGAAAAATAGAACTTAATGAACTGTCAATTGCGAAGCCTTCAATTGCTTTGCACCTGTTTGTCCCACGGTGAATATAGGGAGGAGGAAACATATAAGCGTTTGCCATCCAGAGAGAGCTGCATCATCTGAGGACCTCCTTCCAGACGACGACCCTTAATAATGCACGGAGGCGGCCTTTCCTGCACCATATCAAATTATATAAGGCATTATATAGAACATAGATTTAAAAATAAATATAGGGCATACGGTCAATTCCTTATCTTCCTTTACGATCACATTTGGCAGATCGCTGCATATGGCGCCTCCTAGCCAGATACGCGACACGAGTTTGGGTTGATCCGGTATGCTTATATCGTATTGCCTCACATCGCCATGCATCCAACAGTTGACATATAGGAATCGGTCATCCAATGATATTATAATATCTGAAATCATACCACCCATCTCGGAGGCGACGCCACTGCCCGTATCGACGAGCTTAGTGGGTATATCAATGACTTTCTTCACATCAAACTCATCAGAGTCGGCTCTCTTCTTGAAATAGAAGACTTTGGCATACAAGGCGCATCCCACATAGCCATCCGGACGCTTCGGATCGTGTAGGAATCGAACCTCCAAAGGTGTTGTGCCCTCCACACCCAGATCGACTGTTTGGTACAGGTTTTGCGTGGACCATTTGTAAAAGTTGAGCCTACAGCCATACTGTGTCATATCCTCCAGATCTTCGTTTTTCCAGCCACTATAAATGAAGGATATAAAGCTGATCATAACTGATCCTAAATATTCCAGTCAAACTTACCGTCTAAACTTATTAGGTGCTCCCCATTCGGTGGATACCATAACATCGTAGTAGGGCTGATACCAGAAATCGTAGCCGCAAAGTGCTTTACGATCGCCCTTTGTCCAAGTACCAACACAATTGAATTCAGAATCAAACAGAATGAACTCTCCCTTGGCATAGCCCTCAGCATCACCCATCACAGATATCATGATATTTCCATTGGCCAAGCAGTGGGTCGTGTGCGGAGCAGTTACATTATGCTTCTTGAGCACTTCTCCGTCGATGACCTTGACAATTTCCGGTTTACGCGGATCGATAGCCACATCCAGAACGTAAATAAAATCGGAATTCAAAGCTGGTAATATCAGCCGATTCCTCTTTGGCACACTTTTCGCATTCTTGTCCACATAGTAGCAGCTGGAGCAGGCATTCCAGCCGGAGTGGTGCAACTCGTTGCCTTTGCGATTCGAAAAAGTGCGATGGACAACCTAGTTATGCAAAAATCTTATAATACAATAACAGCAAATCAAACAAGTAATTCTATTTGCTTACCTGGCTATAAGTGGGACTATCAGGGTCCACATCGATTGTTGATAGATAGTCGCCATGCGGCTCATCCAAGTTGGGTTGAATTGTCACCGTGTACAGTAGTTTCTCCCTAGGTCCGTTTTTCAAGGCATCCAATGGTGTGGCATAGCCGGGTCCATGGCAACAAGCTAAAGAGTGAATAATGTTAGCAAAAATATACAAAATAAAACAATAATAAACGTAAGTTATCAGCGGAATAAATAATGAGCCCTGCCTTCTGTCGACATCTTCAAACTATTTTTCTAAGTACGTCGTCGTTGATCAAAGAACAGAACAGCACTGGAACTCACAAGAGTGTTTGCCTCCATATATGTATACATACATTTGTATACGGTATATGCGCATAAGCTATCAGCCGGTTCTGAGTGAGTTTTTAAAAGAACTTTGCATTTGATCAATTTTATTTACTGCCGGCTCTCTCTCACTCTCACTGTCGTTTCCCCTCTTTCTCTACCTCTATCATATGAGAACAACCACTTCAAGCATGCTCGTGTATCTACTTTTATGTTTTGTTTTTCTTTATCTTATCAAATATTTATACATAGCACCTTCCTCAAGACGAATATTGTTGTTTACTGTTAAGTAGCGTCATTAAGTGATAAATATGCTTTAATCCATATTGGATTCATCATGATGATTAAGCATCATATATGTATGTATGTATATTTGAGAAAACAAATGTGTTAAAATTAGTATTCATTATCAGGTTGTTATTAAACAAAAAGTATTTAACTTTTTTAGAACTACATTTTTTTTTTTAAATTATCAAATGTTTTTAAAAAACTTTATATTTATTTCTATATTTTTCTTTTCTACATAATTATTATTCCATACATATGCATAATTTTATACTTAATTTAGCTAAAGCTCATTCAAACACGATACTTATAAAAGTAGCACGACGCATCGTGTCACGTAAGCTCACGGAGCGCACCCATCCTCAGCATGCGGCATTTGTTGAAAACTCTGGCAGCGCCGCACTGTCTAATCAGCTGTTGTTCGTATAAATTTTCTGTTAGTTTTGCCGTTATAACATGCGTTTGATATCGCAAATACGGAGAGCATCAACGCAAGCGGCACGCCGGCGTGTGGTTATAACAGGCAGTGGCGCAGTTACACCACTGGGTAATAATGTGTCCGAGTCGTGGCAGCGTTTGCTGGCGGGCGAATCCGCAATTTCCAAACTGGGAGCGGAGTTCAAGGGCCTGCCTTGTCAGGTGGCGGCACAAATACCAAAGGAACGCCTTCAGATAGACAAACATCTGAGCAAAAGTGATATCAAACTCATGAGTCCTGCCACGCAGTTAGCTATCATTGCAGCCGATGAGGCTCTAGCCGCCGCAAAGCTGAAGCCCAACGAGCTGAGTGAAGAGCAGCGGGAACGTTTTGGTGTCTGTGTCGGCATGGGCATGTTCGATCTGGCCGAGGTGTATGGAGCATTTCAGCAGCTGCAGCGCGGCTACAATCGTGTCAGTCCTTACTTTGTGCCTCGCCTGCTGCCAAATATGGCGTGTGGACACATCAGCATGCGACATGGCCTGCAGGGACCAAATCATTCCGTGTCAACAGCGTGCGCAACCGGCGCACATGCCATTGGTGATGCCCTGCGCTTTATACGGAACGGCGATGCTGATCTCATGCTAGCCGGCAGTGGAGAGGCCTGCATAGACCCCCTATCGATAGCCGGCTTTTGTAGGCTACGCGCCCTCAGCACGACGTTCAATGATAACCCCGCCGTGGCCTCGCGACCTTTTGATAAAGCGCGTGACGGATTTGTGATGGGCGAGGGTGCTGCAGTGCTGCTTCTAGAAGAGCTGGAGCATGCCCGTGCTCGCGGTGCACCCATATTGGCCGAGATACTGGGCTATGGCTTGTCCGGTGATGCGCATCACATTACGTCGCCTAGCGATGATGGCGCCGGCGCAACGTTGGCCATGAAGCGTGCCATCGCAGATGCCGGCGTCAACGCCCAGGACATTAGCTATGTCAATGCCCATGCCACATCCACGCCCACCGGCGATCGTATTGAGGCGCATGCCATTGGCCGTGTCTTTGGCGATCATTTGGCCAAGGTGTTTGTCTCCTCGACCAAGGGTGCACATGGACATCTGCTTGGCTCCTCAGGCAATCTGGAGGCGCTGTTTGTAGTGCACGCGTGCGCAGAAAACCAATTGCCGCCCTCGATCAATGTTGATCACCTAGACGTGGATGTAAACGTAGTGACCAAGTCGTGCAAATGGTCAGAGGATCAATCGGTACAGCGCATTGCGCTCAAAAACTCCTTTGGCTTCGGTGGCACCAATGCCTCCCTCTGCATTGCCAGCTACACTGGAAAATAATATCTATTTATGTAAAAATACAAAAACTTGTTATGCCCTAATTGTTGCTTGTAAATAAATAATATCGATTATAGTTTAGCATTATTTTTGTTTTTTTTTTTTTTAGGAAAAATTTTTAAGTTTTAAAACTTTATTTGGAAAACTTTTCGGTTTCTTGTACCCCCGTCCCAAACCCACGAAAACCATGAGGATTTCTAGCATTCTGCTCGGTAAAAATGTATATATGCGTATTGCAGAGTTCGTACTATTATATTGTATGTGTGTGTATATATATCTGTATATAATGTTGTATATATGTAGCTCTGTTTGATTTGCTTCTGTTGCTGGCATACGCGCGCTTACTTTATAAATCGTAAACAAATATGTTTTATCTGGTCGTTTTTGCTGACATCAATAATTGCTGTTGTTTTCGTTCCCTTTTCTATTTCTCCGTCTTCTTTTGTTTTTGTCACTTATCTTGATTTAATTTAAAGAATTTTTTATTTTACAAAATTACTTAAATGGTAAAGTTAAAAATACATAGATTGGCTTACAATTAGAATTTCTTTATAATCAATATATATAAATGTGGTTGCTCATTTTTTTTGGGGGGTTTTCGTTTGTTTTTTTCTTCTTTTCTTTAAATCTTTTTAATGCTGATCTACTTTTAGATTTTACTTGTCATCTGCCAAAAGGTTTATTTTATTATTGTATTATTTATATGCTCAATACATTTATAAATGTATATTAAGTGGTTTCGATTTGTTATTTATGTATTTCTATAGGCGTAAATAAAATATGCTATATTTGTGTTTATGTTGGTTTTTGTGTTGTCTATTTTGCATTGGTTTGAAAGTATCAATTTGCAATTGTATATAAATTATGAAAATAAATTGTATTCGAAGTTATAAACTTTATCCCAATTACTGTACAATTTGTGGTGGTTATCCGCTTTTCGTTACAGCGTATAATTAATTTTTTAAATAATCTTGCACGTCACATTAATTAACAAGGTAAATTTTCTCTTTTTTTTTTAAGTTCTGATACTTAAAGCATTAAATGAATTTTTCAAATATCGTTCGTCTATGATTTGCATATTCAAATTTTGAATGAAGAATATTTGAAAATTACGGAGGCCTTTGAATTACAAATTTACGTATTCTGGTGTTTAGCTAGGATGCAACAAACATTTGCTCAGCAGAATTAAAATCGAGGAATTGTGCTTTGTATTTTTTGTTGTTGTTTGTTTTTGGAACCTGAAGGCGCGTGGTAGCCAGTAATAATAGATTAGACAAATTAAAATAATTTGGCATACGTGATGTACACACAATGTACATAATGTTGAAATGTATGCGCTTATGAAAATTGGACAATGAAATAAAAAATAATAATAATAGTTAAGAATTATTATAAAATGCCTACAACACATAAACTAATATAGAAACAATGAACTTATTATTCCTTGAGTTTCTCATACATGTCCAAAATTGCAGTGAACTTACTTTTTGTGAGATTTAAAAAAAAATTGTAAAAATTATGTAAATTATGAATAAATATTTGATTTGTTTCGCGTTGTGTTTACTATTGCTTTCGATCTTAACACTTATTATCTTACTATTTGTTTTGTTCTTAAATTTTTTGTTTTGTTTAAAAAGACATCTATTTAAGCGCTAGTAAAGTGGGTTTTCTTGTTGCTGTCAGTTGTTGGTTTTCTGTTAGTGAAATGGTTACCAACTTCATATGTATAGTGGATGCTGCAACACTTGCCTACACTAGATGTATGTATGTATGTATATTGTTTTTTTTTTTTTTTTGGGTTTTTTTGTTAGTTTTTTTTTCTTGGTTTTTGTTTTTAGCATGCAAGGGGATGTATGTATGGTTGTATGTATGTATGTACATGGCAAGCCACTGAAAGACAGAATGTGGGTCACTAGTTTAGCAATGCATCCATTGTATATGGAAATGGAGGATGTTGCTGTTGCTGTTCAAATCTGTTGGCTGAATAGGACAGCAACTTTGTCGCTGTTGCTGCTGCGGCTGCTGCTGCATATGGTGTTGATGCTGATGCTGATGTATCTGTTGAAGACGGTCAGTCCAGTATTACGATTTGTGATTCAATAGGTTTGCTGCTCGGCTCTGGGGCCATTGACTTGATAGGCAGTGAACGCCATGGTTTGCGCGCCGCACGACGCAGATCCACAGCTGAGAGTATTTTTCGTGTTTTTCTATGAGCAAGGAACGAGGAAAGTTTAAATAAATGATGGCGATTGTGCATCAATAAATAATAATTGGCACTCACTTGTGTACGTCTGTGGCTCTAAAGTAAACATCGTCCGGTGCATCCATCCAACTGATAACCTGCTTGCGTCCATTGCCACCACGTGCCATTTGCGCAATCTTTTGCTTGCCATTAAGCTGTAAGAATATTTGATGACATTTATAAATGTTGAAATAGTTGCAGTTGGCATGAACTTACGTGATGTCTAGAGAGGGGCTGGCCAGATGCTGCCATCATGGCGGCAAACTGCTCCGGACTGGGGCAATGCGAGGGCATGGGATCCTTGTTGGGACGTTTGGCTGGCGGCCCACTGGGCACAATAGTTACTACGAATTAAAACAACAATATTTATATTAACTCTCGTTATTTTCACAGTTAATTGTTCAAATCACCTTCGGTGCCATTGAGTTGCTGTTCCTCATGCGCACGTTTGCGTATCGTAGATGTTGCTTGCGCTGGAATTATAGTTAGTTCTTTGTCAGCCACAACGGGCACGGCGACCACATCGGGTGTTTTATTGGGCACGCGATCGTAGAGTAAACTGCCGTCTGGGCCTTTGGGCGGTTTAGGGAATGAGACAACATTGGGCTGTGGCATTTTATCCTTGGGCGTCAGCACCAGCCATTCATGCGGACCGCTTCCTGGG